TATTTTATTTTTTCAGTTAAAGAATAAAATAAATAAATTAATTATTTTTAAAAATACAAAATACAAAATAAAAAAAATAAAAAAAGAGCCTACCCTTCTGTTATTTTGTCATTTTGTCATTTTTCTATTTTTACCATTTCAACTATTTCACCAATTTGTAATTGTAAGAGTTTAGATTTTTTTTTGTATGTTAAGATTTAAAATAATTAATTAATTAAATTATAATTTTAAAATATAAAAAAATTTTAGATCTTTGAGCCACCAAATGAGTTCAATAAAAAAAAGATTACATTAACTGACACTCAAAAATATGAATTGTGTCTTTATGCTAACAATAATAAAAAGACCAGATCTGAATATGTAGAATGGGTAGAACAAAAATGGGGAGTAAGGATTGATAAAAGTACTATTACAAGAATTTACAAACAAAAGAAAAACGACTTTCTAATGATCAAATTGATTCAACACAAAAATAACATAAATCAGTAACATTTCCTGAACTTGAATTGGCACTTAAGGAGTTTGTTTTAAGCTATCAACATAGAGTTATTCTTAGTGATTCTATTTTAATTAAAAAGGCAAAATTATTAGCAATAGGATTAAGTATTTCTGAAAATACTTTATTATTTTCTTCTGGTTGATTATATAGTTTTAAAAAATGTAATAAAATTTAACAAATAAAATTACAAGGTGAAGCAGTATTAGCAAATGAAGTTTTTATTGAAGATGCACTTCCATTATTACAAAATAAATATGCAGATTATTCTCTATAGGTGCCTCCCAAATAAATTGCAAATTCCAAATTCCAAATTCCAATTCCAAATTCAAATTATTTTTGACATCTCAAATTATTTTTGACATCCCAAATTATTTTGACATTTCAAATTATTTTTGGCATTCCAAATTATTTTTGGCATCTCAAATTATTTTTGACACTGTTATCTCTGCTTCATTTCCATATTTATTAGTTATTTATTTATATATTTTATTATCATACTTATTCATATCTGTATCATTTTATTATTAATTATTATATATTATATATAGTATTACAGTAGATCAATTTAATAGTTTGTAATACAAATTAGATATTATTACTTAAATTATTAAATTCTTAAATTCTTGTTAATCTGTAGCACTAGAACACAAAGTTAGAGTACAAGCCAGAGTACGAGTTAATATCTCAGTCAAA